AACAATGCCAAGAGTGAACGAAGCCAAAGTGAAAGAAGAGTCTGGAAGATAAATCAGTCTAGCCCAACTTCCAATACAATTTGCAGTCTGGCCCAAATTCTACAACCCACGCCGACCCATGGCAAAAAAATAACTTCAATGTGAACAAATCTATGGTTCAATGGTTAGAGAGACAATAGTATTCCAGTTCATCAGGGTTCAATGGTATTTCAATTTATTAGGGTTTAAATTTTGATGCTATATATTTCAGCATTTTCGGCGATGTGTATTCAATGGGAAAAGATGTTTTCGTCGTCATTATTCCTGGTTTTTGTCGTCATTATTCCTGGATATATTTCAGGATTTCCAACGATGCGCATTCAATTGAAGAAGATATTTTCATCGACGATGAAGTGTCTACAATGACTTCGTAACTCTCAAAATGATATGTCGCCTTAGTCTCTCAAAGATGCTCAGAGAAAAAGGGTGTTTATGTATTCATAAAGATGGAAAATGTATGCACGTATGTTTGAGCGCTTGCGTTTGTATTGTGTTAAAGAAACTAAACAACTTTAACTTTGACGACGAGTATCACAATTGACAAGGAGAATATGCAGGGTTCAGAGCAACCGAGCCCTTCGCAAACGATCTAATGTCATTGTCACTACCTCTACCTGGACTTGCCCAATCGCATTTCCGATTTAGCAACAACAAAGCAAACCGCGTAAAAGCACATCAAACATATGAATCAACCTGTGATTGAATTGGTTAGATGGACAATGATATCCCCAACCCATTAGGGTTCAAATCCTGGTGCTCGCATTATTTCTGGATTTATTTTAGAATTTCCGGCGATGCGCTTTCAGTGGGAGAAGACGTTCCAGTCGACGACGAGGCGCCTACGATGACTTCATAAATCTCAAAATGATATGCCGGCTCAGTCTCTCAAAGATGCTCATAGAGGTAGGGTATGCATGTGTGCGTTCATAGGGATGAATGTATGCGCGTGTATATAAACGTTTGTGTCTGTACTGATGCTAAAAAAAAAGCACATCAAACACACTAATCCGGCTATCGAAGCCAAGCCTCGACCCCAACTCCTGATGCCATCATCGTCGCCAAAAGAAGCCAACACCTCAGAACAGCCACCTCAGCGAAGCACGCGGGCAAGACGCCGCCATCCGCCGGTCTCTTGATCGTAGGCTGCTTCGAGTTAGAGACGATGCCCCTAAGAGTAGAAAGACGTGAAGATGTCGCCATCGCCTGATCCAACGGATTTAAGTTCCCCTCCTAAGCCATGGCCATGGGAGAGGGAAGGAGCACAACTTCCGAAGCCATGGCCGCGAGGAGAGGGAAGGAGCACAGCTCCCGGACGATGCTTCCAGGAAAGATTGCGACGCCCGCGCATCGCCGTCGCCCGATCCGGCTAAGACCAGAAATATAATTTCTTCCGGAGACGAGCACGAACCGGCCAACCACAAAGCGCCGGCCTAACAACCACTGCAGGCCACAGCCAGGATCACATCCCGCCAGCTACCGCCCCTGCTGAGGCCGACCCGCGCGGCCACAAGGCCACCCGTCGCTAGCTGGAGCAGAGGTAGAGGAGGGGCACGAGGTAGAGGTGAAGGGTGAGGAAGAAGACGCCGGCGACGGCCACGAACGCCACGCCATACAACAGCCGCACCAGATCACCCATCGATTATACGCGGATCTCTTGATTTGGTTGGAGGTAATACCTATTTATAGCGACGGTGCATCGTCGTCGCCGCCGTTTGCTGCTGGCCGGTTCCGATAAGATCGATCGGTCAAACAACACAGCAGCCTCGCTGAGCTGTGAGCGCCACGCTGCCGCGTCTCGACGCGTGCCAGCAAGCGTGTCGCCGTACCAGTGGCCGCATGCATGCATGCATGCCGGCTGGACGAGAGGTGAGGACCGAGGAGAGACGTGGACGTCACTGCCCGCCACCAGTCTCCAGCCAGTATATATTTACCTCACGTGAGAGCAAGCTTTGACGTTGGCCTTTTTTATATTTTCTTGTACAAAAAAGTCTTATATATTGATACAAAGAGTACTATCCCTTCATTTTATAATGTATATGTATAGATTGTTAAAAGGTTAAACTTCACAAAATTTAATTAAGTTTATGATAAACAATATTTATATTTAGAATGTCAAACATATATCATTAGATTCTCATAAAATGTAGTGAAAGATGATGACTGCTTGTGAGATCATGCACAACATGATCGTAGAAGATGAGCGTGAAGACCATATCTTTGACCAAGGGTTTCAATGTCAAGATGAAAATATTATGCCTGAGCATGAACCATCAACGTTTGTAGTCCATTCAATTTCATCATGAAATGCATGATTGTGCAACTCACATACAACTTCAAAATCATTTGGTTGAGCATATGCGAACTCATTTTTTGGCTACCAATAGATGTATCGGCTATTTTTCTTTCAGTATATCTGTGACATTTTAAATTTCATTTGGTTTGTAAACTATGATATTCTCAGTTGATTATAAACCATTTAATATTGTGATGTAAAGCTATGTGATTTAAACTTTGGGCAATGCTTAGATTTGTATGTAAAAAATATATAATATGGTCCCATACAGGCGCGTGGATGGAATGGGTCGGTTGGTTGGGCTCGCTTGCCAACAAAACTGAAAAAAAAGGGTCAGACGCCGCCACTACAACCGACTCAAACGAATAAAAAGCATACCAAAGTCCGTTTGCCTCGGCCGGTTCATCGCAAGATCTATCTGGCACCCATTCACCACAAAATAAAAAGGGAAACGTTCCTGGCCGGGGCACCGGCCGAACCGTTGCGCCGGTCATGTGCGGTTCGTTCGATTGCATCAGATCGTCTGGCTCGTGTGCAGCCTTATCTGCTGACCCCACCGCTTTTTAATCTACTGACCCCAACTGCTCCTTTTCCTTATCCTTTCTTTCTTATCCTCTCGCGTTCCTAGCCACACAACCATTCTTCCCCTGCGTCCTCTCCCTCCCGTGGTCTACCTCCAAATAAACAGCTCGCCGGCGGTGGAAGAGGTGTGTGGCGAGCGAGCGACCCCGGAGGAGCACAAACGAAGATGCAGAGGTGCGTAGAAGACGACTGTCGGCGAGCGGAGGTGTGGTGCTTCCAGCTACAACGGCAGCCTGTGGATGCTGGCAAGAGGTACAGCCATGGCGGCCAGCTGCTGGAATCCGCACAATTTTTTTTGCTTCAATCGGCGTTCAATTTTTTTGTTGAAACTAGCGATGTTCTGTATGTTTTTGCTACCACCGTTTTGTATTTTGCTGGAACCAGCGTCGTTTTTTGCTACCACTGTGTTTTCGATTTGCTGGAACCAGCCCTCGACTTTGCATTTTTGCTACAACCATGGAGGCCAGATGCTGGAACCCGCACACATTTTTGCTTCCATCGACGTTTTGGTTTTACTAAAACTAGCGTTGTCTTTTGTATTTTTTGCTACCACCCTTTTGTATTTTTGCTGGAACCAGCATCGATTTTTGCTACCATCGCCTTTTTGATTTGCTGGAACCAGCCCTAAACTTTGCATCTTTGCTACCACCGGTGTTCTGGTTTGCTGGAACCAGCTTCAATTTTTCCTACCATCAAGGTTCGGTTTGTTGGGACGCCGTCTAATTTCTGAAATTTTTGCTACTACCGTTTTTTGGTTTGCTGGAACCAGCCCTAATTTTTGCTACAACTGTCGTTTGCTGTGAGACCACAGAGTCGTCGTCATTTGTTTCTACAGGAGGGCGAGGGAGGGGGATGGGCATCACCGGCGAGGTGAAGTGATTTTTTGCTGGAACTGTGTTAATTTTTTGCTACGACCCATGATTTATTTTGTAGTGACCAGCAAATTGAGGGCGAGATACGACGCGAGCTCGACGACGGGGCGCTGCGGCCATCTCCACCAGGGTTGCCATGGCCGGTAAGCACGGTCGCCCAAGGATGCGGCGGCGAGCATGGGTTGCCGGTGAACACGATGCCGAGAACGAGCGTGGGGCGGCCAATGATGCGTCGGCAAGAGCATGTTGCCGGCGAGCATGAGGCCGTGGACGAGCGCGGGCGGCCCAAGGATGCTTCGGCGAGAGCGGGTTGCCGGCAAGCATGAGGCCGAGGATGAGCGCAGGCGGCGCAAGTGGAAGGCGAGCACGGTGCTAGAAAAAGCTGCACGAGACGGTGAAATACAGGGACCTGCGTGAGGGCGAGATGCGTCAGGAGGAAGATAATGTCCGGAAGAATCGTTTCCTTTTTCTATATATCCAACGGCCAGGGCTAGTGGCATCTGGCGGCTAGGGTGCGACCGGCCGAAACTTTCGGCCGGCGCACCGGCGCCCAGTATTGCCCAAATAAAAAGGTACCAAGCGCATCCGTGAAGTTTCTGCATACACTGAAAACGAAAAAGGTTTGCGTCCTCGGAGCAACACCAATCAGACTTCAATCAGGACATGGTTCTACACTACAGACCACAGACTACAGACCTGACAAAACTGTATCCGTCATGACGACGCGCGGCTCCGTGTCGACACAATACCATCAACCGAAGCATCAATGCTACAGCAGCATGCATGCTATCCTTACGCCGCGAAAAAGAAGACGGATTCTTCCGTGCGTGGCACAAGCTTCATCCCTGGATCATGGAATCAGATGCCGAGCTCAGCTCAAAGCGGGAGGAAAAGGCAAAGTTTACGGAATCTGATGTTCACCGCCGCATTTTCTCGGCCGCTGTTAATGTTATCCCGATGCCATCTTCTTTGCCAACATTATCATCTTGGACAGCTCTCTCATGCCGACCAGCGCACGAGGCAGGACCGTAGGCGCCAAAAGGTCATCAAATTCCGTGTCCACTCCTTTACCACGAAACCGTGATGCTTCTAGCCATCCTGCAGCTATATATATGCCACCGCCGGCTTGAACTGCTGTTGCATTGCACCCAACGAAAAGTTCAGACTTTAGAGAAACCAACGAGAAGTTCAGACTTCAGAGAAACCAACCAGCCATGGGGGCGGCGCCGTCGAGACAGGAGGCGTCCACCGCCTCGTCGCCCACCGGCGATGGCCGTGTCGCGCCGACGGCGCTCAGCGCTTCTACTACTTCTGACACCGCCAACCAGGCGCAGTCCAAGAGGGCGCCGGCTCCTCACATGTTCCGGGAGATCGTCGCCGGGGAGAATGTCGCCGACGTAGCCGCGCTGGAAGATCAGGTCTGCAAGGGGATCTTCTTGGCCGGGAAAACAAAGGTATACTTCTTCTCAACATGGAACTGATATATACGCTGTAAAATATCATAAGATTTTGCTTTCTGAACTTATTTGCAATGGTGCAGAAGTACTGGGTGGATGAAAAAACCAGGCACAACTGCTTCATGCTGTTCCCCAGAGGCCTACACATCACCTGGAGCGAAGACCCCAAGTACTGGACTTGGCACCCCCTGCGAGAAGGAAGGTTAGTTAAGAATCATGAACATGTATATGTGTACAGTACTGGCTATTTACAGTTGTTCAAGCGTCTTGCCTCAGGAATTATACATACTTAACGTGTTGTTCTGAACCTGAAATTTTACCATCAGCGACGCCGAAGCCGGAATCGAGACGGTGGCGCTGCAGAACGTCTGCTGGCTGGAGGTCCAAGGGAAGCTGGAGCTGTCCCATCTCACACCAGGAGCCACCTATGAGGTTTTCTTCGAGGTGAGGCTCGACGACCCGGCTTACGGATGGTCGATGCCGGTGAACCTCCGGCTCAAGTTCCCTGATGGCACGATCCAGCAGCACAAGGAGAACCTGGAGGAGAAGCCCAGGGGGAAGTGGCTGCTGGTCAAGGTTGGGGAGGTTAAGCCACACAAGGGGCAGAATGGAGAGGCTGAGATCTCCATGTTTGAGTATGATGGTGGGCAGTGGAAGAGGGGGCTCCTCATCAAGGGCATCAAGATCATCCCAAAAGAATGAATGATCTGATTGTGCTTTGTTACGAACAATCGCTGGCTGTTGTTTGTCGGCTACGCTAAGATCAGTTTGATGCATGGGAATAATATCAAGAGTTTTGAATGAATCTGAGATCACTTTCCTTGGTTGATATAACCACTGAGTACTGGTTGTCTGACTACAAAAAGACTGTCATTCATTCAGTGCTGCACTAACTTCTGTTCTTTCTGTAACATATGGCAAGCTGACAAAAAATTACTCAAATATTTATCTAAATACTAGTCGCTACAGAGGACAGCTTAGAGAAGGCACAAAGCTTAAAAAACACCACTCAGCTAGGTCAACACATTACAAGCTTAACACGTTCCTTGACATGTTTGTTGATCGGATCATGTCAGTAACAGGGTCAGGGAGAATTCAAGCCTGCAACATGATCAAGGGTGGTACAGTTGCTTAACAGATAACAGTGGCATGGTCACATTTTATTGTGTCAAATAAGCAAGTGTGATTCAAATTACATTTTGACCTCAGAGCTCATGAAACTGAAAACAAAGCTCTAATTGTCCCAATTTAATGGGATTCTGTTCCGGATTCTCAACGGATATCAAATGAACAGAGAAAATCTGTTCAACTGAAAATGTGGGAACCGAACTTGAAATTGTACAACATGGCTTCATTCACTGATCTTCCATTTTAAGTGGAAGAAAATTCTAAAATGACTGAATGCTAGGTACAGGCCGAGGCATGGGCTTATCTTGCAAGAAATGCTCAAAAAGCTTCAAGGCTTGCCGTGGACGATGGAGGGGAACCTCATGTCCTGCGCCTCGGATTGTCACCAACGTCAAACCTTTGTGCACTTGGCACCAACCAGCAACCTAAGCAAGATCCACACCATTAGAGAATGGTGAGCATAGATGTAGCAAAGTGAACAGGGGAATAAAACTGTCGGTGTTGCTTTAGTACTGTTTCTGACTAACCTCTTCCTCATCATACCACGGATACCAATTAGTGACAGTCGGAAGATATAGTGCATCAATGGAGTATCTTGTACCAGTGAGGGGTACTACGGAATCGGCATCACCACTATCAAATTTCCCAATTTAAACAATTAAAACCTCAGAAGGACAGGCGGGCTACTTAATACTGTGAGCCATACAGTCAATGATGATCATATATATCAACATTGGCACCATTGTTAAGGATTTATGATCCAGCATAAATCATGTTGTCAATATAAATTTGGTGTACCTGAAGACCCATATTCTTATGCCAGCTGCAATCAGTTCACGGTAAATAGGAAGCATGGACCTCGGTGAATCTTTCCAATATTCAAACAAGACATCACTGTGAAATATGGATAAGTTTAGTGCAAACGTTCATTAACAAACCGGCTTTATGGTCAGGCACGGTGAACTAGTTGCGAGTAAAACAAGATGAAACCAGTTGAACAGACCTGCAGCCGGTCCAGGCATACGGTATTCCAGTGACATTGGCACGAAAAGCTTTCTGCACTTCTGGTAGATTATAGTACTTCGTGGAGTACTGTTCAGTGCAGGGATCATATCCTCTTGGCAACCAGGGCTACATTTTAAACAAAAAATATTGTTAGGAAGCACAATATGAAATGTTATTATGATCCATAGGAATCGGAGATGAGTCTAAACAGTACTTTAAACAGATGCATAGTAATTATTAGTAATCAAATGTACCAACATACCATTCTGCTACAGTACTAGCTTAGTTATCAGCAGAACTATAGTTTCAGTAGTTGATAAGATAGGCTCACCCTGCGGCCCTTGATTTGCCTTCGCCTATGAAGCGAGGTCTTCTTACAGGTAGGTGTGTAGATGCTGTATGCGTCGATCAGGCCTTCCTCAGCTTCAGCAACATCATAAATCTTGTTGCATGCCTCAGAAGCGTGCTCGGATGAATCGAATTCACAAGCCAACTGCAGCTTCTGATAGGTGTCATCAGAGATCAGCCCGTGCGTCCACCAATACTCGAACGTTCCAACGAAATCATGGTAATCATCAATGACCGCATTTCCGACCTAGATACCAGACCATGTGTAAGAACAAGATGACCAGACAGTTTAAGAGAGCACCAAAAGAAGAGCTGAAGAAGTTCTGACCATGAAGCCTTTGAAGTTCAGGATGGGCTTCCTCACTCCCTTGTTGTTCCTGTACACTAGCTGAGACAGCTGAGGGACATAGTGCCCTGAAAAGCAGCCATGGCAGCAAGGGTAAATATGCAGGCACTGTGGCACATAAACCATATTATACATGTGATTCCTGCTAAATTCAGAACCGAGCCTCCATGCTAGAATGAACCAATTTTGGTTGCAGTTTACCTCCATAGCTCTCTCCGGCGATGTAGAAATCGCGGTACTTGTACTGCGGAAACCTCTCCAGCCAATTCACCAGGAAAGTGTACGAATCATGAGCTGCACAGCAACATTGGTGTTCATTCAGCACAACACATATGCACTAGAGCAAGTGCAGCACTAGCATGAGGCAAGTGGGTAGTCTGATCTCAATTCACCTGTCTTGTTGTCGCCGGGGCTGAGCAGATCGGAACTGGTGTTGGAGTAGGAGTACCCAACGCCGGCGGGGGCGTCCAGGAACAGCACGTTCGCCACTGCGACACAGCGAACCGATCCACCCCGTGTCAGAGTCAGAGCGCAACACATTTGCCGATCGGACGGGGCGACCGAACGGCGAAAGGAGAGGGGAATATACTTTTGTTCCAGGAGTAGGGGTTGACGGAGAGCGTCCTGCCGTCGGCGTTGATCCGGAAGGCTCCGAGCTCCTCGGAGGCGCCGTAGCCGACGGAGGAGCAGCCGGGCCCGCCGTTGAGCCAGAGCACGAGCGGCGCCGACTCGGGCTTCGCGACGGCGGCCTCGACGAGCCAGTAGAAGAGGGCGCGGCCCGCGGCGGCGTCGACGGTGACGTAGCCCGAGTACATGGAGAAGTTGACCGGCGGCTGGCCCGGCAGGCGCGTGATGCGGTCGGCCGCCGCCGCCGCCGCAGAGGGGGACGCGAGGGAAAGGGGCAGCGGGGACAGCGCCAGGATGGCGGCCAGCAGCACGGCCACCGCCATTGGCGCTCGCGGTGGCTCGACGGAGACCAGGGCTGTGTGCTGCGAGGAGTGAGCCAAGCCAATGGCGACTCGTGAGAGGGGTGGGGGAGGCGTGGAAGGCGTGGAGTGGTGGTTTGGTTTAATTGGACATTTCCTGTTTGGATCGTGTGGCGTAGACAACTGCATCGTCACTCGTCAGCTCATCATTGATCATTGTCCATGGGCCACCAGAATTTATTTTTTCCATCAAAAATACAGCTTTATCTTCCCCAAAAGAGAAGAAAAATGAACTTTATCAAATAACTAAGGGCATCTCCAACGCTGAACCCAAACCGACACCGCATCTAGATAGGGGATCAGTCCATGGACACTAATGCGGAATCCGGCCATCCAATTATAGCTGCATACAATTCAAACCATGTTTCAAAAAACCGGACGGATTACATGCAAACCGAATGATTTTCATATAAACCAAACGAAAACATTCATATTTCGAACATATTTCAACTAAGCTATAGCGGACTAGACTACACTATTCTAACATAGTCTATCGTCGGCTGCCGCAGAACCCCATTCCCACAACATGTCTTTCCTATGTCCGGCAGCAAGCTCACTGGACCGCCCTAAACCCCAGAGGGATATGCTTCAACAGAAGGGAAAGAGTAGCCTCAAGCATGGATCAAGGTTGATTTTTGGGGCACGGATAGATGGTCACAATGGCCTACTCGCCCGCAAAGCGGGAAGTCACTAGTTGTGTAGGCTGGTGAGGCGGTGGCGGTGGCCTTCTTGTGACCCAAGCGGCGGCGGCCTTCCATGGTCTACTTTACCTCGGTGTTGGCAGCAGCGGCAGGCGTGGCCGACGCGGAGTTGGCGACGTCATCGTCGATGCCTAGTTAAATTCCTCCACCGTGGCGTCAACCTCCTCGTGCATGGCTTCTTTCTCCGCCTGTCGGATTTGTCGGGAGACGACGTTGGCCAATCTGGCGGGCGAGGAGGGCCTGGCGATGGCGATGGCGTCGGCTCCGGATAGCTTGCGGGCAAGCCAGCCTGTATTCGACTGGAGGTCAACTCAGCCAGCTGCAATGCCGGAGAGCTCCTTCTTCTGCTCACCAGAGGGGTCGTCCCACATGACTTCAGAGCCAGAGGTCATGGAGGGTGTGGTGCAAGGAGGAGATGGAGAGCGGAGGTGTTGAATCCCACACGGCACAGAGACGTGGTGCTCGGGGTGCCAGAGTAGGTTCCTCGACACATGCACTGGTTTAATGAAGACGGATGACGTTTCAATGCGGAAAGAAAGCGTGCACATCGGGCTTGGAGCGGATAGCGTTCTCGGCCAGCGCATTGCTTCAATGCCGGCTCAAGTGAGTAGCCGCGTCCGCTCTGAGCTGGCATGCATGCGGCGCTCACGCTCTGGCGGGAAAAGGTGCGAGCGAGGAAGAGTTTTTGGGCGGGCCAGGGTTGTCGGTCGCCTGCGTGGCACTGGTCTGGAGTCTCACAAAGCCCCCATCCCAAGGTTTGCAAACGCGACTGACCTCTCAGCGGATGGATACAAGCTTGTGTTGAATGGAAAAACACGTCTGAACCTCGCGGTCTGGACAAATGCGGGCGACTTGAAGGTCCGCGTTGGAGAAAGTGTCATTTATAATAGCCGAGGAGAAGTACAGACTAGTCGATGAAGCAGGTCCATTTTATTTTCTTGAGAATGGACTTATGACTTATGTGATAAATATTGAGTAATTTTATCTGAATTTTTTATAGTGAAAAGGAGGCATCCATGTTTGATTTCTATTAAGAGAAATCATATGCAATTTTATCTGATTTTTTGCGCCAAGTGGCCTTGTATCCTCTCCTCCCTCTCTATTTTCCCCTAGACTATAACCTCATTAGGCACAATTGGGTTTTTGCCCTACATCACACTATGACCATGAACTTATCATTTTTACTAA